AGTAGCTGGGATTACAGGCACGTGCCACCATGCCCAGCTAATTTTTTGTAGTTTTTAGTAGAGACGGGGTTTCACCGTGTTGACCAGGATGGTCTCAATCTCTTGACCTTGTGATCCACCCGCCTCGGCCTCCCAAAGTGCTGGGATTACAGGCTTGAGCCACCACGCCCGGCCTGAATTATATATCTCTTAAGGAATGGGCTTTATGGCTCTTTTGGAGAACTTTGCATAACGTAGAGCAACAGAGCAATTTCCAGGCAATGTAATTGTTGGTTGTGGATAGTATTCAGCCTGTAAACATCTTTTCTTTATTTGAAATATCTGAAATGATCACATTCTAAATCTTTTTAGAAATTCTAATATTTTACTGAGCATTGTTATACAGCAAAGGAAAAAGACAATAAAATTTATGTTAATTGTATGTATAATTTTACCTTTGTTCCATTAGCTAAATAATATTCTCATTAAAAATTACAGACATTATTTTCAATGACAAATGTTTAAAGGCCAGAAATGTATAAATCAGTTGTGAGTATTGCCAGTGCTTCTCATATTAAAAATAAATTTCATTTTTCAGAATGAACAGAGAAACATCAGACACTGTGGGAGAATAAAGAAGAGGCAGATTTTTATATTAAATGATTTAAACATAGTTCATCCGCTTGGAAAATAAGCAGTGATTTGTCTTAGTTTTCAGTAGATCTCAGAGCACTTGGCATTTATGCCTGAGGCATTTTAATGTCTAATTGTTTCATGTTAATTAATTTATAATATTATTTGAGCAACTTGTGAATAGGTAAAATTTACAGAAAAGTTGAAAAATCAATACAATATTTTTAGATTTTACTAATGAACACTAAAAGTACAAACTTTTTTTATTTCAGAACTTTCAGCCAACACAGCTGCCTTTGCTAAAAGTGCTGCCATGTTAGGTAATTCTGAGGATCATACTGCTTTATCTAGAGCTTTGTCTCAGCTTGCAGAGGTTGAAGAGAAGATAGACCAGTTACATCAAGAACAAGCTTTTGCTGACTTTTATATGTTCTCAGAACTACTTAGTGACTACATTCGTCTTATTGCTGCAGTGAAAGTAAGCCCTTTCTTACATTCTTCTCACTTTTCTCATGTGCTTTAAAAAGTATTTTGTTTCCTATTAGTTATGTATTTGTCTAAACTCCTCATACACTAGCACAAATAAAATGGCTTCAAGATAAGTATCCATAACCTAATACTTTCCTCCCTATGACTTGCACAGTACAATAGACAGAATTAATGTTTTTAACAGGTCTAAGGAATGATAGATAAGATAGAAAACATTACACATTTACTCATGTATTTGCTTATACAAGTTTGTAACTAACTGATAGCATTCATTTGCTCATTCTAACACGAACTGAGACTACTCACTGGACTCTATAATTGTTAGTAAAGCTGACTGTGTAATGAGTGGGATAAAACCAGAAATGATCATAGCAGTGAATATGTTTAATTGGGACTTTATCATGAATTTGGATGTAATAAGACTTTCTGTTTGTATACTCAAATGTGTAGTCGCCATGTGTTTATAGATGAGATGGGACTCTATTAGATCATAAATTGTGTTATTGAATGGTAATACTTAAATATAATAGTCCAATTTCTGAATGGTTGAGGAAGTAATCCAGTTAATAAAAATTAGTATTCTACAGATATCTCCAGTATTCAGACAGTTAAACTAAACTGAACATTACTCCATATATCATGTTTCAGAAGATACTTTAAGATCTTTGAATTATTGTTATAGATATTAGTTATGGGGTTTGGGGGGGTACTGGGTATTTACCTTTTACCTTGAATTTAAACATCTAGAAAGTTAATGAGACCTTGTTTCTTTCTTATGCAAAATTTTTTCAGCTAAAGTCTGTGATCAAGTTAGTACTCATCTGCGATGAGCATATTTATTGATGGTTCTGTTCTCAAGCTACTGGTGACATTTATTACTAGAGCATTCTTAGCAATTTGGAATGGTGCTTTTACTTATTTGATAAAATTGCCAATTTTACTTGTATTTAATGTTCTAAATGTTATTCCTTGTGCTGTTGGTAATTTTTCAATATTTAGAAATGTTAATGTAGATAGCAGTTGTCAGAGTATACTTCATTATATACAGGCAGCTTGTGATGTGTGGAGATCTAGTTTACAGACTTGTTCCACCTACTCTCACTTCTTACCAGAGCTCCCAATATCATGAGAACTGTTATAAAAAAGTGTGACACTTCCAAAAAACCAGTGACTCAAAAAAGGGAGGTTGGGCAGTGTCTGTAAGAGTACATACCTGGTAATAAGAGCTAGCCTGGAAAGAGACCCCCTGGCACTGATGGCCTGCCTGTGTAATGGATACTGATCCCTCAGAAACAGCTTTCCTCATACCCTAAGTCTTTTTGCTATATTATTATATTTCATGAAATTACAGTTATATTAATGTTTTCCAAAATATTTTCTATAGAACACTGGCACCAAAAGATGGATTACAGTTAGCTAAGTTTGGGAAGTTACATATATATACAGTATCCCTGTTTGCGAGATTCAGAATGCGTTTTAAAAGCTCAGAACTAGCTAAGAATGAAAAAGAAAATAAATTTTAATCCAGAGGCTTCTAAATTCATATGAACAAGAATTATTTTCCACTAAATATCTATTCACATACATGGAACACATTTGGGGAAATACTGAATTAATGATTCATTGACTGAAAGAGTTAAAGAGCTGTGGTCAAGTTGCCTTTAGGTAAATTAAGCTCTTTAAGATTGGTTTCTACTGAAATGTAGCTTAGGTCAGCTGCACAAAGTAATTGAAATATTATGGAAGGAGGTGACAGGTAATTTTTATGGTTTTCATTTTTGTCTTATTCTCTGTTTTAAACTAATTTATTTGTATTTGAAAAAATAATGCATGTACATGACAGTTTTAATAGCCCAGCAAGGTAAATTTCCCTGCAGAACTAAGACCTGTAGTCTCTGACCTCAGTCATAAACTATTAGATTCTTGTGTGTCTTTACAGAATTAGCTATACATATACCTAAAACTAATTCTCTCCCTCTTTCTGTCTGTTTATTCCTTCCGTCCCCTTTTTCTCCCTCCCTTCCTTTCTCAAAAAGGAATACACTGTGTGTACTGTTCTTTGTCTGCCTTTTCACCCACCCCACTTATTAGAGCAGTCTCCCTATCAACATAGGTAGATGTCTTTTTAATGGTTGTATAGCATTCCATCATATAACATTTAGGTGTTCCTTGAATTATAGTCTAGTCTTTAAAAAAATCAAGTATTTTGATAACTCTTTGGTCATAAAGATTCTATAAGTAGAATTGCTGACCAAAGGTTATAAGCATTTTAAATTTCAGTATTGCCAAATTACTGTTCAAAGAGATTTTACTTTGTGCCTTAACCAGTACGTGTTTCTTTTTACTACCACCCAAGAATGAAGGGTTTTTTTTTTTGTTTTTTTTTTTGATAAGCTATCATTTACTTAGTGTGAATCAAGGTATCTTTACAAATGATAAGCCATTTACATTTCTTTTTCTGTGAATGAACTGTTCAAGAACTTTGCCCCATTTTTGTTTGCTTATTATCTAATAGCTGCTTAATATTAATAACCTTTAGTTTCATCCCTATCGAGAGTACTTTTCTGATGATAATTCTGCAAGTTAAGAGTACTTTGGGGATTAATATAGAGCCATTGTTGGGAGCAGAGAACATCAGGAATTAGAACACAAAAGAAAAAGCTAAATTTTACCCATTTCAAAATATTGCCTAAGCCTGGCTTTCTGTCAGGAAACTCCTGTTTTCCTCTTTTGTACAGTACATGGCCTCTGAAATTTAGAACTACAGGTTTTGGCTGTATCCTTATAAGCATTGTCATGTATTGGGCTTCTGTGAACCACTAAAATAGGGTCAGAGATTGAGGGCAATGGTTCTTAATGTTTTTAGCACTAGAACTCTTTATAAGTAATTTTTGTAGGGGATTCCAATTTATAAAACATATTAAAAAAATTTTTTTTAACTAAAAGATAGGCTCCCCAAAGGGTTTAAATGCTTTATTGTTTGGCTGTAAATACTCAGCACCTCTTCAGAACTCCGTGAAGCTGGACAGCATATTTTTGGATTAACTGAATTAGAATATGGTAACAATTAAAATTGTAGCATCAAATTTCCTAATGGGCCAAGAAAATTATTAGACATCTGCAATCTAACCTAACCTAGACCAGCTTGCATACAAGTGTATGCCATAAATTGGCAGGGGAATGGAGGTCCTACATGGATGATCAGTGTAAACTTATCCCTCTTCAAATGATTCTACTAGAGTAGATTAGTATCTTGGCATACAAGGGGCATTGCTACAATTTAATTGATTTAATTAATTGTTAGAAGTTTGACTGTGGTGCTGGTTCTTTTTTTCTTTTATTTTCTATTATTTTGTTACAAAGGTAAGAAAACGAGGAAAAAGTTAATTTGTATATTTAAGATTTTTTTTTTTCCTGAAATAACCTGACTTTAGTATTCTTACCTTTATCATAGCTCCTGCATCTGTACCACAATAAACATGTCCTGGTTCTGGAATACTATTAGATAATAAATTGGACAGGGACCAAATTAGTTTAGATTTAGCATGTCAATGAAAAAGCCAGTTGATATACATTAAGAATGTAAGCAAATATTGAATTAAAGGGCATGTTCTTTAGCTTTTTCTCAGTATTGGTACATAATTTAAGGAATTAAATTGTTATTGAACAGAGGAATTCAGAAATGAACAGATATGGCCCTGTTCCCCTAAAGCAAGACTAGGCCTAAAATCTTAAATTACTTTTTGGTTGGTTGTGTGCATGGGAGTGTGTGTGTGTGTGTGTCAGAGGTGAGAGGGATTGTTTGTCTCAAATCAAGCCTGTTCAATACGCAGCCCAGGACAGCTTTGAATGCAGCCCAACACAAATTCATAAACTTTATTAAAATGTCATGAGATTTTATATACATACATATATATATATATATATATATAAATATATATAATTTTTTTTCTTTTTCTTTTTCTTTTCTTTTCTTTTTTTGAAGCTCATCACCTGTTGTTAGTATATTTTATGCTTGATCCAAGACAATTCTTGCAGTGTGGCCCAGGGAAGCCAAAGGATTGAACACTGCTGTTTTAAATGATAGTTACTTTTTCTCAATTTGTTTGTGTTAGATGTGTTACTTTTGGATTTTAGCTTAAATTAGACTAAAGCAAAGTTAATTTATAACAAGGGATGTTTTAGGAAAAAATGTGGTCTTTTAAATACAAGAAAAGCAGAGTGGTGGCTCATGCCTGTAGTCCTAGCACTTTGGGAGGTCAAGGTGGGTGGATCACCTGAGGTCACGAGTTCAAGACCAGCCTAGCCATCGTGGTGAAACCCCATCTTTAAAAAAATAAAAAATAGGCCAGGCGCGGTGGCTCAAGCCTGTAATCCCAGCACTTTGGGAGGCCAAGGCAGGTGGATCACGAGGTCAAGAGATCAAGACCATCCTGGTCAACACGGTGAAACCCCGTCTCTACTAAAAATACAAAACATTAGCTGGGCATGGTGGTGCGTGCCTGTAATCCCAACTACTCAGGAGGCTGAGGCAGGAGAATTGCCTGAACCCAGGAGACGGAGGTTGCGGTGAGCCGAGATCGCACCATTGCACTCCAGCCTGGGTAACATGAGTGAAACTCCGTCTCAAAAAAATAAAATAAAGTAAAATAAAAATAAAAATAAATTAAAAAAGAAAAGCAGACAAAGGGGACGGTAAGATTTACTTACTAATATAAGGAGAAATTATCTGAGATAAATTAAATATAGCAAAGTGGATTTAAATACCCAAAGGTACAGTGCTTTGACTTGCCAGTTTGCCCTGGATATCTGTTGTCCTGGTTAATTTAAAATGTTCGCAACCTGTAAGAATTCTTTTGGAAAAATAGGAAAAATACTTTGGTTTCTGGTTGACTGGATTTTTTAATGTTATCACATTTTTAAAAATTGTCATATGATATAAATGCTGTTTAATTATACATTTTTTCCATAATACTGAGCTATCCTTTGTACTTTTAATAGAAAGCTTAACAGTTTATAACTACATTTACATGTGTATGTTATTTAGAAGTAATCCACAATAGCTGTATTTACTGATTATTAAGCATACACTAGGTTAAGTCACTATGCAATAATATCCTCGTCATGTTATTTCTAATCCATAAATGTAGACATCATTTCCCATCTCTTATATTTGGGAGCATTATAGCTTGGAGAAGTTCAGTGAATTTACCCGTGGTCATACAGTGACAAAATTAATAGTAGAACAAAATTCGATTTTCTCCAAAGCCTGCTTTTAAAAAACATACGCTATCTGCATATTTTTATCTTCAGCAGATCTCTATAGGAACATGTAGTTTTTACTGCGTCATGGTTCAAAAACTTTTTTATTTGGAATAAATTAAAATAACTCTGGTTTAGTGCTTCCTGATTCACCCAATTTATTGTTTATTTCATGAATGTTTGATTAGTAATTACTAAAATAATTGTAATATTTCTCATCAAGCCAGAAAGGGGATTCTTAGTGGGTTCTCCCATCCTATCTATGATGTTTTCTCATGAGACTATTAGTTACTCTAATTTGTCCATATTTCATTTCTTTTCTCTATTCACTTGCTCTTCCTCTGCCAGACTCCTTGAGAAAAGTCATGGATTTTGTTGACTTACTGTATTAAGATCTTTTTGTCTATTTCTTCTTTAGTTCTGCAGTGTATACATAATATATATAGTCATCTTTTCATCTTTTGCCCTTTTCATCTTGTGTAAGACTGTCTTTTTTTCATTTTGATATATTTTACTTTTTGATTGCTTTTCCTTTTATTTGCTATGGTAATTTTTTCTACCGCATATCTTATGAGTGTTTCCCATTTTGTCTTTTCAGTTTCAGACATGTTTCTAACACTTAATATGCTTCTAATATTATTTAGCAGGAAAATTTCCAGTGTAGATATGACACTAGTATTTTCCTGTTAAAGACATCTTTCTTCAAAGCATAAAACTCTGTTAGAAATCTTATTAAACCACATTTAAAGCCTAAAGGCTAGTGACGAAATGGATTTTGAATGTAGTTTTTTATTCTGAGTGTTCATGTTTCATCCAGTGACAGGGTTTTTTGTTTTAAGCAAGTGAATATGGAAATTATTTTCTTTGATATTGGCATGCTTATTTTCAGTATCTTAAAGTAGCACTTAAATACTTGGTTTTATTGCTTTCTGTATTACAACACTTCTAGTGTTATGAAAGTATTTTAAATGTTACTCTTACTTAGTAGCATTATGTCATTCATTTATAGGGTGTGTTTGACCATCGAATGAAGTGCTGGCAGAAATGGGAAGATGCTCAAATTACTTTGCTCAAAAAACGTGAAGCTGAGGCAAAAATAATGATTGCTAACAAACCAGATAAAATACAGCAAGCTAAAAATGAAATAAGAGAGGTGATTACTAAATGCTTTATCTCTTTACTTAAGTTTTTCATGAGTCATTCATATATACATAATTTTTCATAATTTTTTTCTAAACCATTCAACATGTGGCTATTTTTGCATATTTTTATGAACTGTGTTAGAATTACTTTAAAATTTTGATCATTATTAAAATCTCCAGAGCCCTTTGTTACTACCTCCATGTGATTATGGAATTGATAAAGAAACATACAGGAAAACACCTAAAATTAACCTTTACATTAATGATTACACAATTCTTATTAGATGGTTAATAATTCAGATAATTATTTTGTGTCTAAAAATGGTTTTGGAGCTAGATTTATCCCACATTTAGCTGTCCAGGCAACATTATCCCCCATATATATGTATTATATATGGTATTTTAGTGAATTTTTATAAGTTTATTATAATTTATACACTTTTCTTACCATGCTTCAATAAGGAAATTGAAGAGGTAGGACAACCTTTATATTACTAAAAATAAATGTACCTGCTCTTTGAAGAGTATGTACCAGTCAGTGTTTTGGTTACATAGTGGGAAAAATACCATTTCATTGCTTAAATCTTCAGTTATTTTAGTTGTTCCATTGTTCACTAATCACAACATTTTGTTGTTTCTGTACTGAATTTAATATTTATTGATGGTCTTCAGTACACCATAATTCCACATTTTTTTTTAAATTCTGGTCATTATACCATTACAAAAACGTTTTTTAAATGTTTGTTACGTAATTTTCCTAATTTAAAGTATTTCCATCAGCATATAAATTTTGATGAACACATATCCTTGGATTTAACAGTAGTGATATATTCTGAAATAATTACTGATACAAAAAAGTAATTAAGAAAATCACGCTGATCATTATTTTGTGGTGCATTTTATGCCCAAAATCTTTCCTCTTAGTTATATTTAATTAAGCTTTGGACATTGTAGTTTATTAAGTACAGTATTGAAATATCTTAATATTGGGTAAATTTGGCTGCGGAATAGTAATGGAAATTAAGCTAACATGCATTTCTATTAGTCAAAAGTTAAATATTATTTCTGTTGATGCTAAATTGTGCTTTGCCATGTTGAGCTTTCTCAGGTTTTTGAGGCATTGTGATTAAATAAAGTAAGTGGTCATGACAGTACTGTACTTTTTTTTGAGCTAAGCATAAAATATTTGTTTGTTTTTATTAGTGGGAGGCGAAAGTGCAACAAGGGGAAAGAGATTTTGAACAGATCTCTAAAACGATTCGAAAAGAAGTGGGAAGATTTGAGGCATGTATAATAATTTTCCATTTTTCTTAACATGGTCACATTTTGCTGCAATTTTGTGGTAAAATTAAATTTAGTTTTCTACTAACGGACTTTTTAAAATGTACTTCAACAGAAAGAACGAGTGAAGGATTTTAAAACTGTTATCATCAAGTACTTAGAATCATTAGTACAAACACAACAGCAGGTAAGCCATTTTTGTGTGTAACTTAAACTTCTAGAATTTGTTTTTGCTGTATTTTTTTATTTTAAAAAGATGATTAATGAACTGGGCTTTTAAACTCAAGAATAAGAAATGGAAGACAGAAAGCCAGTGATGATAAAGGAAAAAAGGATAAATTAATTGGAAACTGTCTTAGGTTCTTTTTGCCTCTGCTACATGCTGAGGCAGAGATACAGTTTTCCCAATTTTAGGCCATCAGAAACCTCATGGGCAACTTTCCCCTTTCACTGTCTTTTCTAGTTTGTTTCCTTGTTGGTCAGACCTGTTTGAGTATATTCTCAATAGTAAGTTCTTCTCTTCCATAACAGATAGAACTTAAATACTTTTTCAGAATTAAAAAAAAATGTACTGTTTTCATTTTTGCTTTACTTTGTTTGGGGTAGTTGGTGGTTGAATGCTGCAAGTGGCATCTGTCTCCTTTACCATGAATTTTAATGGTAAGTTAAATAAAAAGATAATCACAGAAAATGTTTCTATATATTTTAATGTAAAATTGGAGTAACAGGTCAAGTAATTTAATATCTTGAATAGAAAGATTTTTTCTTCTCATTTTAAAATATGTGGATCTAGAATGTTGTTTGTATAAAATATAATAGGTTGTTTTTGAATTAAGCGGTAAGATGTCTTCAAATTATCTTTAGTTTTTATTTAAACAGTTCATAAAGTTAGATTTTTTTAAATATGAAAATAAGTCATTAAGCTTATTTTTTAAAGGAATTGTTTTAAACATGACTTCAGTTTATATTTCAGTCTGTTCTCTGGACTACTCAAGGAAGACTGACAGCTAATTCTATCCAATCCTTTTTTTTTTCTTGTTCAGTATTTTCTTTTCTTCTTCCTTGTATCCCATTCTTCTTGTCTAGCAACAACATAAAATGTCCATATGCTCTGATTTGGGAAATCTTATCACTTTATGCTGGAAAAGGTCATTGTAGTTGTATTATGTAAGGTAATCTTTAATATATGGTAACACTGTTCTATGTAAAATTTTGCATAAATCAAAAAATTGTACATTTTAAAAATTCTATTATTTTACATCAAAAACTAAAATTAGGAGTAATTAATGTTTTAAATAATTTATGAAATATATTGACAGACTTCAGATAAGGAAGTTAAAATGATTTCTTTAAGAACCAGACATTGGCAGGGCGCAGCAGCTCACGCCTGTAATCCCAGTACTTTGGGAGGCCGAGGTGGGTGGATCGCCTGAGGTCAGGAGTTCGAGACCAGCCTGGCCAACATGGAGAAACCTCGTCTCTACTAAAAATACAAAAAACATAGCTGGGCATGGTGGCACGTGCCTGTAATCCTAGCTACTTGGGAAGCTGAGGCAGGAGAATTGCCTGAACCCAGGAATTGGAGGTTGCAGTGAGCCTCCATCACATCATTGCACTCTAGCCTGGGCAACAAGAATGAAACTCTGTCTGAAAAAAAAAAAAAAAAACAGACATTAGTAAATATTAGTTATTGTTAGTTAGTGATTTGCATAGTTTTAATTTTGTTTTTGTTTTCGTTTGGTTTTTTTTGAGATGGAATCTTGCTCTGTGGTCCAGGCTGGAGTACAGTGGCGTGATCTTGGCTCACTGCAACCTCCACCTCCTGGGTTCAAGTGATTCTCCTATCTCAGCCTCCCAAGTAGCTGGGATTACAGGCACATGTCACATTGCCCAGCTAATTTTTGTATTTTTAGTAGAAACGGGGTTTCACCATGTTGGCCAGGCTGGTCTCGAACTCCTGACCTCAGGTGACCCACCTACCTTGGCCTCCCAAAGTGCTGGGATTACAGATGTGAGCCACCCTGCCTGGCCTATATAGAATTTTTTTTTTAATGTTGTACAGGTTATATGCATATAAATGGCAAAAAGATAATAACGTATTTTAATTATCATTCACAGCTGATAAAATATTGGGAAGCATTCCTACCTGAAGCCAAAGCCATTGCCTAGCAATAAGACTGTTGCTGTTAAGAAGACCTTGGATGTTGTTCCAGTTATGCTGAATTCCACAGTGAAATCGTTTAAAACCATCTAAATAAACCACTATATATTTTATGAATTACACGTGGTTTTATATACACACACACATACACACATACACACACACACTCTGACATTTTATTACAAGCTGCATGTCCTGACCCTCTTTGAAATAAGTGGACTGTGGCATGACATTCTGCAATATTTTGCTGAATTGAACACTATTGTGTCTCAAATACTTGCACTAAAAAGTGCACTGCAAGACCAGAAAATATTACAATTTTTTTCTTTACAATATGTTCTGTAGTATGTTTATCCTCTTTATGAAGTGAATTATCAATGCACTGATAAATGTTCACTTATACATTCCTGTACAGAAATTATGATTTTGTGATTACAGTAATAAAATGATATTCCTTGTGAAATACTAGTAACAAATTATTTGGGTATTTAAACATATTAGGAATCTTTTCCAAGCATTTTTAGTAAGAAGAAACTTTTTCTTCTAGATGTATGTATATAAGTGATGCTATGATTCCTTAATTATTTTAATTGACAAAAAAAGCTGAACTCATATTGTTGAATGACTAAATGAAGCTTAAGTTTTCTTATGAAACCATCATAAATCAAAGAACATTTGTCTCATGATTGTCTTAGGTAAAGAAGAGAATAATTGTCATTGCTTGTTTTTAACCATCCATATTACAAGTGCCCAATTTAAGAATTAGGAAAAAATGTGTTTATATACTTTGGTTACAAGTCCCAAGGATTTTGTTCATCTTCTCTTGTTATCTTCAAAATGTAGTATTTTGCATATATTTAATTTATTCCTTGTCTTTTGTTTTCTTTTAAAACTAAAAGTATATCATCTGTACTCAGAGTTGATAAGGAATGATACCATGCTAAAATTTATTTGATGAATAAGCAAGCATACCACAAAACAGATTTGAAGTGAAATTTACTTTGCCTCGGGCAATGTTTTTACCCAATTCTGTGTGCTAGACAGCTGTTATCTAATCCTTAATGCTGATAAAAATTTAAGTTATGGCTGGTGCAGTGGCTCACGCCTGTAATCCCAACACTTTGGGAGGCTAAGGCGGGTGGATCACCTGAGGTAGGAGTTCAAGACTAGCCTGGCCAACATAGTGAAACCCTGTCTCTATTAAAAATAGAAAAATTAGTCAGGCATGGTGAGGTGTGCCTGTAGTCCCAGCTACTTGGGAGGCTGAGGCAGGAGAATCACTTGAACCAGGAAGGCGGAGATTACAGTGAGCCAAGATTGTGACATTGCAGCCTGGGAAACGAGGGAAAATCCATCTCAAAAAAAAAGAAAAGAAAATTTAAGGTATGACTGGCATCAGAGTTATTTTTGTTTTTTTAAAAAAATATTCTTACAAACACCTCTTTTCTTGATCTTAACAACCACATCTCCCTTTCAGAGGAACAAGATATGGTATGTGTAACTCAGTCCTCTCTAGTGAGTCACTGGATACAATTTATATATCAAAGTATCCTTAGCCTGTGTTTGCCTCTACTTATTTTAGTTGAAATGTTAAGCTTTCTATAGTTATTACTCATATTTATACTCCTAGACCCCAGAAGAGTGGCTGATACATTATAGGTTAATAATAAAGGCTTGATGGACCAGGCACAGTGGCTCACATGCCTGGTATTCCCAGCTTCTCGGGAGGCTGAGGCAAGGGGATCTCTTGATTCCAGGAGTTTGAGGCTGTAGTGTGCAGTGATCATGCCTGTGAATACCCACTGCCCTAAAGCCAGCCTGGGCAACACAGACCCTATCTCTAAAAAAAAAAAATTAAGACATGATGAGTTGAACAGGGAAAAATAAAGTTTGCCCTTTTAAGAAGGAACTGAAGCAGAAATAGTACAATCTTCTTTTGTTGCTTCTACTGGGAATACTTTTGAGAAATGAATAATTCATAGTAATATATATAAGATGCTATCTTATTGCCCCATTAATATTGAGCAAAAGATAGGCTTACTAGGAATAGTTTCACTAGAATGATGTCCTAGTGTTATAGCCACAGTTACATTACTTACAAAGGTGTAGTTACACATGGGATAGTTATTCATGTTGTTAAAATCTTCCATTTAGATGTGGTACATTAGAATACTCAGTATCTCCAAGTAAAATAATAAATATTTTCAGCCTTGATTAAACTCTACTACATTCTAGTCTTCATTTCCCTTGCCCACATTTACTAAAAGTTGAGTGTGTTGGAAATTTCAAGTATTCTATGATCCTCTGATACCAGTATTTAAACAGGATTTAATTATTTCAACACTCCACCCATCAATCTTCTGTTCAGATATCTAAAATGCTTTCATCCCAAATAAATAAACAAGAACATTAATAGTGCCAACAATATCTTTTTGTTGGATAGGTCTGAATTTAATTTTTTTTAAGGAGAGCAAAAGTTAAAGGACTAAGGCAGCATAATATCGTGAAACAAGATGAACTTGGGATCAAAATACATTTTTCAGTCTCGTTTCACTTAGTAGCTGTAAGACTTTGAGCATATCACTTAAATCTCTTATCTATAAAACAAGTACATAAAACTCTTGATTCCTGAAGTGCCTTTCTACTTTAAAATATTTTTAAAATATCAAACTTCAATATAAATATTGAAAATATGGAAAACAGTTCTGATCAAAGAACTATTAAGTAAAACAAGACAAAATGTATTTAAAAATGTGACTCTAACACATAGATTTCCTTGATTGTATTTTCTACTCAACTATTTTCAAGTATTCAGCTTGTTTTATACAGATTATATTAGTCTCAAAATACCTTTGTTTCATTGTTGCTACTCCTTAAACTTCTTTTCTTTGTTATCTAAATCTGGTAAAGTTTTCCAAGTTCATTGTATTAAGGCTGGTGCAAAAGCAATTTCGTTCTTTGTCATATAAATTGTTTTTTAAGTGCTTTAACTGTGAAATAAGCCTTTTAACATAACCAGCTTTCTTGAAAGGAGGAAGTCAGACGAGTAGAGAAGGAAAGTCACATTTCTTTACAAACACTTTTAATTTTAATATCTAAGGGAATTACAGGGACTTACCTTATTCTGCCTTAAATAAGGGATGTTACTTGAATCTTCTTGTCATGGCTTCTTGCATGGGCAGTCATGTTAAAAAGAGTCAGGGCAATAGCAGATATTCTAAAATAGTGACTGCAGGTAGATCAAAGTCATTTTGTTTTAAAGGAAAGGAGGTCACTGGTAGTGAGGTGGGAAAATAACACCTGCGAAAAGGAATTCTAAGTCACTGGCTCGGGGGCTTAAGCATTTTCATCTCATATTTACTAGTTAAGAAATGTGTAAGTAAGTTATATGTGTGATTGACACAGTCTATTTCAAAGTATTGGAAAGGAATCACCAATAGAATCACCCTGCCTACTCACACACACACTTCCTTATGTAAAATCAGAATAAAATAATTATTATTCCAAACTCCTACGGTGAAGGATTTGGTTTCAAGTAACAATGAAAGTAGATCATGGGTCAGACATGGAACTAACAATAAAAGGGAAGTACAACAAGATGAAAGTGAGTAATAGTTCATTTTCCTGCATTTGTGATCAGGGCCATGAAGAGAGGTCATGGTAATCTGTGGAGAAGGTACTTAAAAGTTTAGAACAATAGAAATATAATGTGAGCCATATATATATATATATATATATATATATATATATATATATTAAACTTTCTATAGCCAAATTTTAAAAAGTAAAAAAATTAATTTTAATACTTAATCCAGTAGCTCCAAAATATTTTAACATACATCCAATATGTTGAAGTTACGGGAGAATTTACATTCTTTTTTCTGATATCTGATGTATATGTTACACTTTCTTTACATCTCCATTCAGCATTTTAAGTGATCAGTTGTCCAGTGTGGCTGACTAGTGGCTATGATAATGGACAGCATAGGTTTAGACAATGCCTATTCAACTACTTAACTTGTTTTATATGTATAAATCTCAAAAAGTACCTTTATTTCATTGTTAGTACTCTTTTTTTTTTCTTTATTATCCAGATATAATTAAGTTTTCCAACTTTCATTGTACAAATGAAATGAGTTTATTGTGGTAATGAAAATGGAGAGTTAAGTCCAACAGCTAGTTTATTTATCATCCTGAACCCAGTGAAGAAATCAAAGCTGCATAAAAGGGACTCCTAGTTGTTGCTCTCGAGGGCAGGTATAATTTAGGTGCAAGACCTTGTAGCATAATGTTTTGCAAGTAGTGGATGTTCAATATCTACAATTAATGAATTGTAGCACTGTATTGCTTGAAGGAAGTTTATAACCTGTCTAGAACAACCTTCTCAATTTTACAACTAAACTAGGAGATTCAGGGCTTAAATCATGATTGAACTGATTATTCCTGTTAAATCTGTGTGTGAACCATATGTGAACATTCTTTGAAAATGTATAATAAGCATTTCAAGATTCCTGTTTTAATCATTAACATTTAGAATTCTAGGAGATCTTTTGGTATACAGAGAACTTATTTCTTCCAAATGTTGCTTCAGATGCTGAGAAGATGGTAGAAGATAGGGAAGTTGTAGTTTACTATCTAGTTTGTTAATGCATATGAAGTAATTTAAAATGCTCTTCTTCCTTTCTTGTCACTTACTTTTAAAAAATTCTCTAATGATTGAATGATTTTAAATATTTCTTAACTGGGTGAAATGGAAACTTTGTATTGAAGCCAATCAAGTTGAAGATGCCCACTTGTTAATACACAGAAAATTATTTTCTTATTAAGGCCAATTAATGGGATAAACCGTTTTAAGAGAGTACTTTGAGAAAAAAAATTCTATTTTAAATTTATACATGTAACTGTTTAATAAAAACTAAGTCAGACAACATTTAACAAAACTAAATTGCCTTCTTTTTGCTTCCATAGTCAGTCTCGAGTTATCTTGATTTTAACCTACATTTTATTTTCTAGATCTTCATTTCAAATCTCACTACTTAGGTGTATACAGCGTGTTTGTATATTTGTGTGTGTAGAAATGTGTGTGTGAATGCAACAGGCTTTTAAACCAAACTTAATTCTAAATTTTAGTTTTAAATATGTCCCAGCCTTCTGTAACAGACAAATGCTTATGTTTTTTAGAGTTATATTGCTTAGGTGTCATAGTTTTACTAGGACCAACTTGAGTTGATTCTACTTTGGAAATCTCTGCCCTTCTCATTTCTGTCGTCTCTCTCCTTAGGGTCAAGATCTTGTGACCATTTACTGGAACTATCTTGAGTCTCCTATAAAAAACTGTTAGTCTCTCTCTACACCAGTGCTACAGCCTGTTCCCAAATCGATCTTCCTAAAAAACTCTTGTCATGGTACTATGCTCAGAAATCTTCATAGACTCCTTACAGTCTGCAGATGAAGTCCAGATGC